GGCTGCGCGCTCCGCCGCTCCAACGTCGCGCCACCGGCCTCGGAGGTTCACGAATGCTACGATCGCTGGTGTCTACGACTGTCTCCTCCTGAGTCGGGTCAGCCCTCTAAGACCGGAGCCTATGATGACCGCGTCGTGATGGGCGAAGTCCGCGGTCGGGAGTGGATCGCGAAGGCTTTGGCGCTTTTCTATCCACACATTCAGAGCGATCATCATTACGTATTCCCTTCCGGCCGTCGTGATTTTGAGAACTTCCTCAGAGAATCGGCTGACTGCCTCGGCATCCCATACCTCAGGCAGTCTCGTCGCTGCCCGCGCCTCAGCGGCCCCTCGACCGACGCGCGCGCAAGAGCGTGCGCGCTTGAGGAGGTGCGTCGCCGAGGCAAATGGGCAGATCATCGCAGTGCGTCACGACATGCAAAACACGCCCGTCTATACGCTGTGTTCCAGAAGCTGACAGCCGGCGACTAACGCGTTGCCGCGGCCGCCTCGTCCGCTCTTCCTAATCGTCTGCTCTCTGCCCTTCGTCAGCCAGGCCTTTGGACTAATGCAAAGTATATTGCAACTGTTTCGAGATAGTGTATGAGTTCGCACTCGCGGACTCGCTTTGGCAAATGCGCTCGCGCTAACTTGTTCTTTTAGATCAATGCGCGGCGTCGGGTCGCCTACGGCCCCGGCATAAAGAGCGATGGAGGCCTTCTAGAGCTCTGGCTGGTCTAAGGATGCGGGTCAGACTGTAGCTTCCTTGGCCACGAAGTTTAGGACTGCGTAGACTGCAGCAATCACTGATGTCTCTTTGCAGCGTGCGGCGTGGCCAGGTCTGTTGCGACCCATCGCTCAGATGTGCTCGGGTTGTTTCTGCTCCTCCTGCGCCGCCTCCTCCACCCACCTTTCTGCGCCCTGCTTCTGCATGCACATCTCACAGGTCCTGTGGCAGCGGTTTCGAGATAATGTTCTGAGTTTGCACTCGCGGACTCACATTGGCAAATGCGCTCGTGCTTACTTGTTCTTTCAGATCAATGCGCGGTGTCTGGTCGCCTACGGTCCCACCAAAAAGAGCGATGGAGGCCCTCTAGAGCTCTGGCTGGTCTCAGGATGTGGGTCAGACTGTAATTCCCTTGACTACGACGGTTCGGAATGTGTGTGTATATATAAAGGTGTGTGTGTGTGTGCGTGTGCCTGTGCCTGTGCCTGTGCGTGTGCGTGCGCGTGTGCGTGTGTGCGCGTGCGCGTGTGCGTGTGCGTGTGTTTGTGTGTGTGTTTGTGTGTGTGTGTGTGTTTGTGTCTGTGTGTGTGCGGGTGCGTGTGCGTGCGTGCGTGTGTTTGCGTGTGTGTGTGTGTGAGCGTGTGTGTGTGTGTGTCTCTGTTTGTCTGTGTGTGCGTGTGCGTGTGCGTGCGTGCGTGCGTGCGTGTGTGTGTGTGTTTGTGTTTGTGCGTGCGTGTGTGTGTGTGTGCGTGTGTGTGGTGTGTGCTGTGCGTGCTCGTGTGTGGTTGTGCCAATGTGTGCGTGTGTGTGTGTGTTTTGTGCCAGTGTGTGTGTGTGTGTGTGCGTGCGTGCGTGCGTGCGTGCGTTGCGGGCGTGCGTGCGTGTGGTGTGTGTGTGTGTGTGTGTGGTGCGTGTTTGGTTTGTGTCTGTGTGTGCGTGTGTACGTGTGTGTCTGTGTGTGCGTGTGTGTGTGTGTGGGTGCGTGCGTGCGTGCGTGCGTGCGCGCGTGTGTGTGTGTGTGTGTGTGTGTGTGTGTGTGTGTGTGTGTGTGTGTGTGTGTGTGTGTGCGTGCGTGTGCGTGTGTGTGTCTGTGTTTGTGACTGTGTGTGTGTGTGTGTTTGTGTCTGTGTGTGCGTGTGTGCGTGTGTGTATGTGCGTGTGTGTGTGTGTATGTGTGTGTGTGTGTTTGTGTCTGTGTGTGCGCGTGTGTGTGTGTGTGTGCGTGTGTGAGTGCGCGTGCGTGTGAGTGTGCGTGTGTGCGTGTGTGTGTGTTGTGTGTGTGTGCGTGTGTGTGTGTGTGCGTGTGTGCGTGTGTGCTTTTGTGATGTGTGTGTAATGTCGCCGCGTGTTTGGTTGCCCCTGGAGTGCGCGTGCGTGTGAGTGTGCGTGTGTGCGTGTGTGCGTGTTCCTGTGAGTGTGTGTGTGTGCGTGTGTGTGTGTGTGCGTGTGCGGGTGCGTGTGTGCTTTTGTGAGGCCCAATGCCCTCTCTTGCACGCCGGACAATTCGCCTTTTGGTTGCCCCGGGTAGCCACGCGCTGGAGCGGACTGCCTCTGCCTCGTCGCCGACGAACAAACTAAGGCCAGATGCTCCGCCCTGTCGCCTGGTGCTTGCCGCCTGCCGTGTGCCGCAGCCGTGCCAGCATACGGCAACCCCCGACATCCGAGGCAGACCGACCTCCCGCCCACGCCTTCCAGGGCCGGCTTCCCATCCCGAGTCCCAGACCCCGTCGAGCGATGAACAAATTACGACGGGAGGTTTTTCACAATTTTCGGCCCCTGGGGGCTATTATTGGGCCTCGGGGGCGTCAAAAAACGACTCGGGATTAAAAACTGGTCCTGGGGAATAGGTCGAAGCCTCTGGAGGTGGACGTCATGAAAATCATGACGTCGGGGGTCTGGGGACCACGCCTTCCAGGGCTGGCTTCTCATCCCGAGTGGTAAGTCCGCGGCACCGTAACGGGTATTCACTAACCGGTACTTTCGAGATATTTCGACAGTTGCTACTTTAAGGCCTCGTTCTGGAATTGTGGCGTTGCCCTCATCGGGGAGGGTTGGGTTCGCCGGGCCACTGGCCAAAGTACCCGTTGGTGGAGTCCGCGTTGGAGGGGCGCTGAGTGAGCCTCGCCATGGGGGAACCGGGTCCTGAGGGAGACGGGTCTCGAGGTTTTTGTCTTAAGTCGGGACTGCTGTCCGTCTACAGGAGGGATATTGTAGTGGCCTTCGGCCAGTGCCGCCGATCCGGGGCGCTCGGACTGATGTGATCCTTTTTCGCCCTCGTCGCTCCTCTCTTTTTCCCTCCCCTCCTCTCACTCAGCATTTATCCAGTGGCCGTCGGCCTATCCCGCCACCGTGCGTGGGTGGTGGGGTCAGAGGCCTCATGGATGCTGGTTGGGATCTCGTGGTTGGCTGGGACTTCTGGGGGCCTCTTGGGCGCCTCTTGGGGCTTCCTGGGGGCCTCTTGGGCCTCTTGGGGCCACTAGAGGGCCTCTTGGGGGTCTCTTGGGAGCCTCTTGGGGCTTCTTGGGGGCCTCTTCTGCGCCCCTCGGGCCCCTTGGAGGCCTCCTCGGAGCCTCTTGGTGCGGGAAGGGTGGTACTCGAGTTCGGACCCCCCTCGGAGGCCACGATCCTTGAGAGGGGTGTCAAAAAACGCATCCGCCGGAAACTCGCACCCCCCCCCCCCCACCCCCCCTTCCCCGGCAGAGCCACCCCGGCAACCCCCCCAGAGGCTGAGGCTCAGCCTCGAGGCTGTAGCTGAGACTCCTTGAAACTCACACGCCGGATCGGCGGATTCAAAAATGGTCAACAAATAGTATGGCGACGATTTCTGACCATTCTCTACAATTTTGGGGAATGTTGTCTAACACTATTTTTGATTTTTCGCCCACGATCCCCCTGCAGGGGGACACGCCCGACCGAATTTTTTGTCGCCGTTCCCGGGCCCTCTGGGCCCTCCAGGGGCCCCGGGACGGTCAGAACACGGCCCAGGACCCAGGAGGAGGAGCTCGTCCTGCGGGAAAGGCCCCAGCGCCCAGGACCCCTTTTCTTCCTAACCCGTGGCCCCCACGCCTTCCAGGGCCGGCTTCTCGTCCCGAGTGGCAAGGTTAGGTCGGGCACGACCTCCCACAGGTGGATTTGGGAAGGAAAACAATAAATAGCCAGCAAATGGCCAACAATAGCCAGAGCTCGTTGAAAAATCGCCCCCGGACTATGTTATTACTGATTTGTCAGTATCCTTTCTGTAGAGGGACATGCCCGACTTAATGGTAAGGCTTCGGGCTGCGAACAAACAGCCCCCTCCAGGTATGATGGGCTTGTTTTCCACCACCACCACCACCACCACCACCACCACCACCACCACCACCACCACCACCACCACCATCACTTGGAGGGGGGATGGAGGTGCAGGAGGAGGAGGAGGACGAGGAGGAGGAGGAGGACGAGGAGGAGGAGGAGGAGGAGGAGGAGGAGGACCCCCTCCCCCTCCAACTTATTTTGGTGGTGGTGGTGGTGGTGGAAAACAGGCCCATCAAGGGAGCCCCAGCTAACCACAGCATGCCCCCCGTGTAGCCCAGGGCGGTCTCGGCAAAGGCCTCGCCTTTGGCGCATCCTCGACCTCGGCGAAAGCTGGCGGAGAAGTTCCGGTGGCGGCTCCGACGGCGGACAGAAGGCCAGCGGAAGGCGACGGACGTAAAAGTGACACGTCGCCTTTTTTGTGGATCCAGGGTCTCCAGAGTCTCCGTGATCCCCTGTGCCGCAGCTGGGCAAGGTTGCGCTATGCGCGCGCACTGGACGAGGATGCGCTACTGACCGGCTAGAGCTCGGCCTACTCGGAAAGATAGGCCAACGAGCGCACCGAGGGAGGAGGAGGAGGAGGAGGAGGAGGAGGAGGAGGAGGAGAAGGAGGAGAAGGAGAAGGAGAAGGAGAAGGAGAAGGAGAAAAGGAGAAGGAGGAGGAGGAGGAGGAGAGGAGGAGGATGGAGGAGAGGAGAAGGACAAGAGAGGAGGAGAAGGAGAAGGAGAAGGAGAAGGAGAAGGAGAAGCAAGAGAAGGAGAAGGAGAAGGAGAAGGAAAGAAAAAAAAAGGAGGACGAGAGGAGAGGAGGAGGAGAGGAGGAGGAGGAGGGAGGAGGAGGAGAAGGAGGAGGAGGAGGAGGGGAGGAGGCGGAGGAGGAAGGGGGGGGGGAGGAGGCACAGGAGGAGGCGTAGGGAGCAGGCGGGGAGGGAGGGAGGAGGAGGAAGAGGAAGGCGGGAGGAGGGAGGGGGGGCCAGGATCCTCCTCAGCTCCCGCGAGCCAGGCGGACGCCGACGAGGAGCCGCAGGCCGGGCGGGCCGCGCGGGCCGCGCGGGCGGCCTGGCGGTCCCGCGGTCCTCGCCGCCACCGTCCCGAGTCCGAATTTCCTCCTCCAGTCAGGGCCGGCGAGGCGGGTTGGTAAGGCTTCGTGCTGCATGCAGGCAGTCCCCCAGGCAGCCCCCGGTGGCCTCAACACGCCCCCCGAGTGGTCCCAGCTGGCCTCCAGAGGCCCTCCACGTGCGCAACCCGAAGCTCTACGAGGGCGGCTTGCGTGCCCAATGCGTATCCTGACGTCCTTGCGTTGGGAAGCATTCGCGACGGAAGGCTCCTCGTGCTTTTCGGCCTCTGGGGGCCCTTGCCAGGCCTCGGGGCAGTGAAACAGCTCCTCAGGATGGAATGCCGGTCCCGGGGGAAGGGGCCCAGGCTTAACTCGGGCCTGTCCCTCTACAGGAGGAAAAAGTTAAAATAACACCAAAAAGTATCAGGGGACGAATTTTTGATCATTCATTTTTCGTCCAAAATTCCCCTGTAGGGGGACAGGCCCGACCTAAGCCCAGGCCTCTCTGCGAAAAAGATCACGAGGCCGGTTGTCTGTGCGGCGGGGGCCTCGCAGCGCGGCGGAGGGCGCCGGAGGGCGGCGGGGGAGCGCCCGCCACTCTCCCGCATCGGCCGCAGAGCCCCCGTCGGCGCAGTGCCCCCTCGGGGCGGCCCCTGCCGAGATTTGCTTCCGCCCTCGGCCCTCGGAGGGCCCAGAATGGGTACAATGCCCAGCAGCAGTTCCTTTTCATTTTGAACCGGATTCGCTGTCCACGCCGCCGCGGCCTGTGTCCATTCGAGACAGAAGGCCGCCTGCCCAACAGCGGCCGCTGTTGGTTTGGGACAGCATTAGTTGTTGGGCATTGTGCCCATTCTTTCCGTACCCATTTCGGGCGTCCAAAAGGTTGGTGGGGACTTCTGTTTGGGCGCTTCTCCGGGGCCTTTGGGGCCCCCGGGTCTCCCGCGGGCCTCCAGGGGCCGAAGGAGAAAGCGCGGCGTGAACATTTATTTTCGAGGGCTCCCAGCCCTCCTTCGTCCTCCTCCTCCTCCGCCTCCTCCTCCTCCTTCGTCCTGGCTTCTTCCCTTGTCCTGCTCACCTCCACCTCCCCCTCCCCCTCCTCCGGGGAACCAATAATGGCGGAAGCATACCTATTTGGAGATCCGCGCGAATTTCCTGGATCAGTGCTGTACCACTGATGTCGGCGCGTCAGGCGCCGCCCCTGGCGGACTCCGCGGGCCAGGGAGGGGAACCCAGCGCCGATCCAAGAAATCCGTGTAGGCTTCTAAATTTTTGTGTTTATGTGCAGTCAATCTGCGTATTAAGGGGGAGCATCTTTCCAAGATTGCCCTTGCATCCTTCCCCTTCGGCCCATCCTTGGCCGCTTTCGCGGGCCGCGCCCCGCTCGCAAAGTGTCGACATGGCCTTCCAAGGCCCCTGCATCGCGCGTCCTTATCGTACGGGTTGACTATAGTTTGCTATTCTTCTAGAAAGGGGCGGGATGAGAAGGAATATGCGGTGCGGCGCCGCCCACCTCAAGAGTCTCGGCCGCGCTTTGGACGCACTGCCCCAATCATCCCAGTTGCAGGGTTGTTCCTGACCAGCAGTCCTCCTTATTGTTGTTTTCGTCCTCCTCCTCCTCTTCCTGCTCCTCCTACCCCTGAAAACTCATCCTTGTTTGAAGCCGAGCCGACTTGAATCCTCAGACTGCAGCGTTCTACAGCTCCTCTTGCTCATCCTGCATCTCCCTGCGACTATCCACCACCACCCGATCCCCTTTGAAGGCTAAGCCTCCTCGTGCTCTTCCTGTTCCTCTTTTGATCCCCCTTTCCTCACTTCCCCTCCTGGTGCCTGGGAGAAGTCGTAGGCTGCCGCCTCCCCCTCCTCCTCCTCCTCCGCCTCCTCCTTCTCCAGCTTCTCCTTCTCCTCCCTCTCCCTCCCCCGCCCTCCTCCTCCCCCGGCCGTCCTCCTCGTCCTTCCTCCTCCTCCTCCTCCTGCTCCTCCTCCTCCTCCTCCTCCTCCTCCTCCTCCTCCTCCTCCTCCTCCTCCTCCTCTCCTGCTCCTCCCTCCTCCTCCTCCTCCTCCTCCTCCCCTCCTCCTCCGTACCTCTTCTCCCCCTCCCCCTCCCCCCTCCCCCTCCTCTCCTCCTCCTCCTCCTCCTCTCCTCTTCCTCCTCCTCCTCCCTCCTCCTTCTCCTCCTCCTCCTCCTCCTCCTCCTCCTCCTCTTCCTCCTCCTCCTCTTGTTCCTTGTCCTCCTCCCCTTACCCTCCTGCAGCCACTTTGGCTCGCGGCGGCGCGCCCCCCCGGCGGGGGCCCCTCCCCCCGCGCGCGCGCCTCCCCTTCGCACGCGCGCGGGGCGACGCGGCGCATGGCGGGCGGCGCGCGCCGAGCGGGCGGGCTGCAGCTCGGCGGCGCGCCCGCCGCCAGGGGGCTCGGGCCAGGGCCCGCGCCCGGGCCGGGCAGGCGCCCGCCGCCCCAGGCTCGGGGGGCTCCAGAGACGGGGGTCGATGCAAGCGGGGGTCCGCCAGAGATGCCGATCTTGCAGGGTCCTGGCCCGGGCTTGGGTGCAGGATCTCGCAGGATCATGCAGGATCCCACAGGGCCTCACTGAGCTGGGCTTGGAGTGGCCCGGGTCAGCAAGTCCCCGACAGGCCCCGCCTCGGCGGCGACCAAGGGTGCACCCATCTCGACGACTGCCAAGGGTGCTTAGCTGCCTCGATGCGCACGTTGTGACGCGCAGCACGTGCTGTGCTCGAAACGTCCGTGTCGATGCGTTGCGCGTTGGTGGCCCCTCGCCGGAGTACCCTTTAGTGCGGGCTCATCGGGGTCCCCCCGATCGCTGAGCGCGATGCGACAGCGGCTGGTTGCGCGCTCGGATTTGGCCACCTTGCGCCCCCTTGAGTTAACCCTTCAACCGCGCACCAAAGGGCACTCTTATCCAGGGTGACTCTTGCGTGTAGCCGAGCCCCGTCTCGGCGACTACCGAGCTTAGTTGTCTCCATACGCCCGTTTTGTATACGCAACACGCACCGTGCTCACAACGTCTGTGGCTCAGCGTATTGGCCCACGTCTTGGGGAACGTATCGCGTCAGACCTACGCTTTCAGTCTAAGCGTTGAGCTCCGCGCCAGAGCGCTACGTGTTGCGTGATGTGTATCGGGGCAGCTGACTAAGGGTGCGGTCACGCTGGGGGTGTGGTGTGCGATCGGCGCCGCGGGGGCCCGAGGGGCACGACGCCGTCCTCGTCGGGCCTCATCGGGGCGCGGTGGGGAGCTCCATCGAGGTCCCCGCCCGCCCCCCAGGGGTGCCCCCCCTGGTGACCCCAGGGTGCCGGTTGCAAAGCACACCCTTTGCAAACGACACCCTTCGGAGTCACCGACCGTCGCAGGAGCCGGAGTCCCAAAGCGACGCGGTGGCCACACCTCGAAGAAGAGACATCTGGGCGCCAGCCGACACTTCCGCCGATCCGAAGCAGATTGCAGTGCCGCGGTCAGCGGTTCAGGGGAGCGCGCCGATTTAGGCCGGATCTGGGGGCCCAGAGTGGCGCAAGACCCTCCCGTTCTCCGCTTTAGCCTCTGCGCGCAACGCCGACGTCGAGCATCTATGCCCGCGCACATCTGCACAAACAGAAGTATTCTCTGACGGGCTTTCAGATTTGTCTGTGCTTGTTTGGGTGGGCTCTGAGGGCCTTTGTGAGGGGCTCCAGTGTCTCCTGGGGGTCTCCATAGATCATCGGAGGTCCGCGCGGATTTCTTGGACCAGTGCCAGAACACCTTGGACCCCAAACAGGTTGTGCAGTCTTCTATCCCTGTCGGGTGAGTCAGCGGGGATTCTGGATCAGCGCATGGGTTTGAGATTTGGGTCGTCCTCCAGGTGTCGAAACGGTGCGGTGACGGATTGTGCGATTTCGAGGTCACCACACGTTCTGTCACCGCATCGCTTTGGGACCCCCAGTCTGGAGGGCGTCATCGGAGGAGGGCCAGTGGAGACAAGGGCGGCTCTAGCTGATGTGTTACGTCATTTCTGGGCCTCCTGAAGGCTTCTCGTCGCCACGGCTGGATCAGCCTCGAAAGACCGGTCGGTATGGATCCCGGGATGGATCCAGGGGCCGATTCTGAGCGGGTCAGATCCGGGCGGGAGGGCCGTGGTTGTATCAACTGGCCCGCCTTTGACGTCAGCTGTTCGCCATGAGGATGTTTCACAGCGAAGGGCCCCAAACAGTGAGCTTGTGGATTCTGGCTGTGCAGGCTGTGTGGTGGAAGCTATGTTTGCGACCTGTGTGGTGCACGGCATGCGGTTTAAGCTGGTTTCTTTGGTGCAGTCTCCCTGGTGCCAGCTGGGTGGTGCAGTGTACGTGGCGAAAGCTATGCGGTGGAAGCGGCCTATCCTGGAGACCCTGGATCCAAGCACGTTCACATCTCTCGGGGGCGCAGTCTCTACAGTCGGGGCCCTGAAGAAGGAACCCGTTTCGTTGGGGAGTGGCTCCGCGTTCCTTAATTGTTCCGCAGCTTGCCTTGGATTTTCCTTATGTCTTCGATCGGGAATAGAAGTTCAACTCATGGAAAAAAGGGGCCTCGCTCCTTATTTTGGGTTCCTTAGGTCAAGGCTCCGACTGTACTTCCGCCGGCCCTCCGCCAGCTGCCGGCGGCGGCGCCGCTCTCGATGCGCTCCCGCCCACCTTGAGGCCGGGTCTGGAGCGCGGCGAGACCGTGGTGCAGCCAGCGCACCGCGGCGCCCACGAGGCGCCCATATGGGCGGCCAGCGAGGCGAACGCCCACCACACGGCAGCCAGCGCACGGAGGAGGAGGGGGAAGAGGAGGAGGACGAGGAGCAGGAGGAGGAGGTGGAGGAGGAGGAGGAGGAGGAGGAGGGGAAGGAGGAGAAGGAGGAAGACGAAAAAGAAGAAGAAGAAGAAGAAGAAGAAGAAGAAGAAGAAAAAGAGGACGAGGAGGAGGAGAAGGAGAAGGAGGAGGAGGAGGAGGAGGAGGAGGAGGAGGAGGAGGAGCTGAAGCCCAGCGAGGCGCCAACGAGGCGCCCAACGAGGCGCCCATGAGGTGGCCAACGAGGCGCCAACGAGGCGCCAACGAGGCGGCCAACGAGGCGCCCAGCGAGGCGGCCCACGACGCGGCCACCTCGACGCGAGCGAGGCGCCAACGAGGCGCCCACGAGGAGGCCACGGAGAAGGGCAGCTGACGTCGAAGCGAAGTGTCGACCCCCGGCTGCAACCGGTGCTCTCGAGGAGGGGCTGGAGGTTCAGGAGCGAAAGAAGGACGTACATGTACATGAATCCACGCTGTTTTCGAGATTTCGCATTGCGCGAATACTCGTATCACGCGGCCGGTCTCGCGGGTCAAGGGGCCGTGTTCATGTACATAGCTGGGCGCGTACGTCCTTTGTGGGCCCCCTAGGAGGTGGCTCGCCGTTTTCGTCCTCCCCGTGGCTCTTCCCCGGGGCCCGGCACCGTCAAGAGCGCGTCGGGGCGAAGCGCAGATCCTGGGGAAAAGCACCGGTGCCCAGGGCCCGCTTCCACACGCGGCCCTGGTCCCTCGTGCCGAGCACACCCCATACGCCGATCCGGGCCAGGACGATCCTGTGCCCGGGCTGGGCCTGGCCAGACCCGGTGCACGCGTGCACGCGTGGCTGTGTAGAGTGGCGTCCCCCTGCAGGCAGCGGGCCCGCGGTCCACGGGGCTGCAGTTCAGCGGGATGTCTGCCATCGGCCGCGGTGGTCGCCCCCCCTCTCAGGACGACAGTTCTCGGGCTGGGAGGAGGGGGCCGGGAGAAAGCAGGACGTCCTTACCCGCAGTCGGCCGAAGCTGCCGCCCACTGCATCCGGATGCTACTGCTCGTGCGCCTCATCCTCCCAGCCCCTTCCTCCCAACACGGCAATTGCTCTCCTCACCCTCTGACCAGGCGGCAGCACGCACATCGATACCGACACCGGCACCTTTCCCTCCCCTTCGTTTGCGTGGGCCTCCCGAGGCCCCGCCGCCGCCGCGGCCGGATTCGAGTCGGGAACCTGGCCAGAGCGCGCCGCACGAGAGGTGCGGGGAGTATCGGCGTCGCCACGGGGGGGGGTGTTGGTAAAGGAGCAGGCCCAGGAGGCCTCGCACCCTGGAGGTCTGCCTATCTGACGAGGGCGGCGATGGCATCGATGGCCAATCCACGATTGTAGTTCCACCGGCTTCCAGACCGTGGATTGCGTATGCAACCCGACCTTGGGATCCGACGGCGCCAAAAGATTGGAGGCATCGCTAAAAGTAGCGACGGGAGCCCCAGACCCCATCGCTCTGCCTCCTGTTTCGAGCCGGACCGATCCGAGAGGGCCCCGGGGCCCGACGCGAGGCTCGAAGAAACGGAGCCGCCAGGATCTCAGGGAACCGGTTCTTCGTCCAACGCCCTCGCCGTACTCTGGCGTCCCCCTCTGTGATCTGGGAAACGAAGAGAAGGAGGGAGAAAAAGGAGGAGGTGGAGGAGGAGGAGGAGGAGGCGGAGGAGGAGGAGGAGGAGGAGGAGGAAGGGGAGGAGGAGGAGGAGGAGGAGGAGGAGGAGGAGGAGGAGGAGGAGGAGGAGGAGGATTTCCGAGTCCCCCGTACCTGGGTCTTAGTTACGTCTCCCCGACTCTGGCGTCCCCCCCCCCCTTCTGGCGAGCCAGCGACCGAGTGGCCAGGCGTCCAGAGGGCAGCGTGGGCAGCACGGCAGGGGCACGCGCGGCGCCCGCCACCGTGGCCTTGCCAGGGAGGGCGCGGGCCCCTGCCGCAGACCTTCAGGGGGGGAACAAAGACACACAGCCACAACTCATCGCCGATCCCCGTGAAGATATGGGAAACTACGGGAAGCGGGGGGAAAGACGAAAACCCAGCAGATACGGGAGAACACGGGGGCATCCTGCTCTTTGTGTCTACCCATTTGTGTGTCCCAGGGCCCCATTCAGACCTGCTTGGGCGCTGGCGTGACCTTCTTGCTGAGCTTTTTTGTTCACTCTTCGGGGTCCACGTCAGGGTGGTGTCGGCTCAAGGGGGGAGAGCATCGGCCACCAATCGCCCACGGAGTGCCCACCCCGCGAAGGCACTGCGGTTTCGCTGTCGGGGGCCTCTCGGCGGTGTGCCGCCGATTCTGCCGCGATGCTTCCCCACCTGGGCCGGTCCCCCCTCGGATAGTTTCCCCTCGACTTCTGGGGCGTTGGGCTCGTGTTTTTCGGGGGAGGGCGCCGATCTCAGCTGATTTGTTGTTGGGGGAGGGCCCTGCCTGAGAGGGGTGTGGGCCACCGCGGAGATCCAGGGGCTCGGCCCTTCGCCTGGCTCCAGGTCGGCGAACTCGCTCGCGTCGAGGTCCACCTTCCAGCAGCCCTTTCACATGGCGTACCACGAGCTGCAGATGCAGAGGGACCTCTGATGGGCCTGTTTTCCACCACCACCACCATAAGTTGGAGGGGGGAAGGAGGTGGAGGAGGAGGAGGAGGAGGAGGAGGAGGAGGAGGAGGAGGACCCCCCACTCCAACTTATGGTGGTGGTGGTGGAAAACATGCCCATCACCCTCGACTTCATCAAGGACCTGTTCACGGAGTGTGACGTTGACGGTTCGGGGTTCATTGAGTTCAGGGAGTTCGTCGGTTTGATGAATCATCCGCGCACCTTCAGAATATTCAACCAGCGGTTTGGGCTGCAGAAGCATCAGACCGCTATGGTCTTCAGCGCTTTCGACGTAGACGGCGACAACACGATCAGCCTGAAGGAGTTCCTGGAGACCTGCTCCTTCCTGATGCAGGTCGTCAAGGACGGCCAGGTCATCACGAACTGGCGCCAGAAGGAGCTGCGGACCCTGAAGGAATCAGGAGGGGAAAAAACACACAGACACAATTATTCGTCGATTCCCAGAAAATATGCGAAAATATGGGAAGTGGGGGGGAAGACAGAAACCCAGAAAATATGGGAAAATATGGGGAATCGTTTTATTTGTGTGTATTTATTTGTGTGTTTGTGGGCCCCTTCAAGGAAACCTGGCCGAATCAGCCTCAGCCCGTGGGCAGCATCAGGCACAACGCCTCCGAGCCGAGCCTCGCCACGGCGGTGATGGCACCGGCCTGGGGCGGCACGGGAAGGGGCGCTCCGAGCGCCGCCCCGTCGAGCTCGCGGGCGCAGCTCCACGGCGCCAGGTAGCGAGGCGCCCCCCAGACCTTCCAGAGGAGAAGGAGACACCGCCGCCATCGAACACCCACTGGGGGGGGGGGGGAAGGAGAGGAAAATCGCGTGGTGGCAATTGGCGCCATACTGTGAAGGTGAAGAGGTGTAAAGGTGTGGAGATACGTTGGACCCCTCCCTGCAGCCGTCTTCGTTGGCCGAGGGGCAACCCCTGGGCGGTGGCACTCCCGAGCACCGTCCGGCATCGGGTGACGCTCGGGCGTGCCACCGCCCAGGGGTGGTCGCTTCCACCCCCCCCTGATGGGTTTTCGGCAGTGGGGCTCTCGGTGGCGGTGGTGTGCTGCTTCTCCTCGGAGACCTCCCACCGTATCGGCCTCGCCTCGCCCACCCACCCCGCAGGCGCGCAACTGCGCGGTGCCAGGGCTGCGGCCCGCGCCCACGGCGCCGCTGATTTCAAGGGGCCTCCTGGCCGCTGGCCAACGAGCTCGCGCGCCTGTCGCTCGCCGTGAAGGGCAAACGGGTCCTGAGGGCAAGGGGTCCTGAGGTTCTATAGTCAAGAGAGGGAAGAACCACTCCGACCCCGACCATTGGCGTTTGCCAAGCGGCCCTGGGCGTTTACTAAAGAGCCCTGCCCCGTTCGATTCCTTGCGTGGGTGCGTTTGCTGAACGGCTTCGCCTGTCGGGGTGCTCGTTCTGCGGGGGGATTTTCTGCTCCCTCTCTCTCTCTCTCTCCCTCCCTCTCTCTCTCTCTCTAGATAGGTCACCCGCGGAGGCGAGGAGTGCATCGGGCTTCGCGCGTCGCGGCCCGGGCCAGAGTGGCAGCCGTGCTCCACGCGGGGGCGGCGCGGGGGCGCGAAGACGATCGCGGGGCGCGGGGCGCGACGCGCGAAGTCGGGTGGCCGAGCGCGTTGTCGCCGTTCTCGGGCTCTCGGAGCCCTCCCTGGGCCCCGGGACCTTCCGAAGACGGCCGGGGATCGAGAGCAACAAGCTGTGGGCGTCGGGGTCAGGACCCCGTTTGTCTCGTGACCCGCTTTTCTTGCACTGCGGGCCTTGCTTCCCCTCTGCTCTCCCCTTATTGTAGATGCAATTTTTTGGGGGGGGGGCCTGCCTGGGGCTCCCCTAACGGATCCATTCGATGATAGTTTTCTATTCCGATTCTAGCCAGACTCGCGATCGACTCTGTTCCGATTGAAGTTCGGTCCAAGTCGACGGGCTTCCGACGCAGCATCGACTCATGAGCGGAGCGACTGTCTCCACGAAGGTCCCCAGAACGAGCATCCGACGCCTGCGCCCCCCTGGCAGGGGGGCGCAGGCAGCCGTGCTCGGCGAATGAAGACGTACTGGTACCGCTACTCGTCCTGGAGAGGCCTCTCGGCCACGGCTGCATTCTCCCAGAGATCACGGCCAGAACGCACCCCTCGGGAGGTCCAGGGAGTGCACACCCATCGGACATCTTAAGAGCACGCGTTTACGTTCACGGACTCCAGATTTCGCTTGAGAAAATCAAGAGTCTGGATTTGGCCCTGGGCGTTTCCTTGGAGCTTGCTTTAGCGTAGGACTGTCGTGTCTCTGAACCTGGACTGCTGTTCAAGGAAACGCTTGGAGTGAAGGCCACTTTCTTAGCGTAAATATTATGAGCAGGTGTGTAGCGGTATCGGTATCTTTCTGCCCCTCCGTCTGCGCTTGCGCCGATCCTGACCAGGCCGCCCGTCCTGGGCCCTTGGTCGAAGTCACAACGCCGCTTCTGGCTGGGCCAGGGAAGGTCGTGTGCTGCACCGATGCCGGGTCTGGGGATCAGCCTGGCCAAGAGCGGAGTCGAGGGTCACCTGCCGTCCTGCTTCCCTCGTGGACAGGGAAAGAGGCTCGTGGGGTCGGACGTTTTCGGGTTGGACGTTGCCAGTTTCCGCTGGCTCTCTGCAAGAGTCGGGGCCCCCTCTTCGCCACGGCTGGATGCGGCTCGAAAAACTTGCAGGTGTGGACACAGACAGGGAGAGAGGGTTGGGGATCGATTTTGAGTGGATTTGCCCTCGCCCACCCACCTGTGTTCCCAGCCAGCCTCCGCGGCCCAGCGCCTGGCGTTCCTCACAGAGGCTGAGTTCGTGACCACAGCGTGGTTGTCCGCGAATTCCAGGGACCGTCCACCCGTGCTCTCCCTGCATCGCGCTCGGCCACCCGTGGCATCAGGAGCCATTGATTGAACTGCCCACGTGCAATTCACTTAAGTCCTTTGCCAGAGCGCCGCAGGGGACCGCCGGACGAGCCAACAGCACGCTCGTCGCGCTCTGCATGTGCGGGCTGCGCACGCGTAGGGGCCAGAGTCCTGAGACGGAGAGGGAGGGGCCGAGCGGGACAGGGGCTCGGGGGGCGGCGGAGGATGATCGGCAGGTTGTTGGGCTAATGGCTGCCGCCGTTGTCGCCGAGGCCGCCGCCGCGGCGGTCGCCGCCGCCGCCGTCGCCGCCGCTGCCGTGGCCGCCCCCGTCATCTGCAGGAGCGCGCAGCACGCTCCACCTCCGTGCCTGGGGAGGAGCTGGACCCAGTCCGCGGCTGGGGGAGCGGCAGGGAGGGATGGGTGCTGGACTCGGTGGGCTGTCGTGTGAATGTGCGCTCCGAGGCTTGAGCGCGGCGCCGTGCCTTCTGGTAGCGTGGCGCGCGAGCAGGCGGCCAGCCGGGCGGGCCGCCGCCTGCGCGCTTTTCCTGGCTGGGAGGCGCAGAGCTTACGCCACCAGAACGAAGAGGGATCCGCAGACCCATGTATGGGCCACGGCCTGTATCGGCGTTCACGATTTGCACGGCTGCAGAAGCCGTGCGGGACAACAGATCCAGGACGAGCCACATGGCACCGCACACGTCACCTACACGAGCAGGAGCCTCTGGGCACGCTCTCGGGGCGCTCTTGGGCTCGTCTTGGGGGTCTCTTGGGCCCCCCCTTGGAGCTCTCTTGGGCCGTCCTGAGGCACCGCGCAGCACCGCACGCTTTTTGGACGGCGCGATCTCTTGGCAGCGGGGCGGACACGGCACTGCACGGCATCACATGGCACCACACGGGCAGCGTACCTTCGCGGCAGCATTTACGGGCAGCGGATCCCAAAGCTGAGGACGTCTAGGCGGCCTCCTGTAGCATAGAGATCCTTGGCAGCATTTGTTGTGCGGGGGCGGCAGCGAGCAGACTCCTGCCATGTACCGTCTCTAGCGTCTGCGCATGTGGGCGCACGGCCAGCGAGTCGATCGCCGCGGCTTCTTGCATGTCCGGGGGCCGTCCAGAAAACCTGGGGCACCACGGAGGGCTCGGCTCACGTCCACTCTGCCACTGAGCGAGGGCTCGCGAGCGTTTTCCTGCAAGGAGCGTTTCACGTGCACGACGTGTTGCTGCTGCGGCCAGCGATGGCGACAAACACCCGGGGGCCATGATCTCGGAGCGGGGAGGCTCCACCCACGCAGATCCCCTCGAAGTCGCATGCGCGCTGGCTGGTTCGGAGGAGGGCGACTTCCGCTGCCGGGCCCCGCCAGGCCCCCCCCCCCCGCCCTGCCGGCCGGGGGTCCTGGCAGGGCCTGGCTCGTGTCAGGGGCAACGTCGCGGGGGATGGGCGCAGCGGGTCGCCCCCAGTGCTCGCCGGTGAGGGCCCGATAGCCCACCGCTCCCAAGAACGTGCGGTGTCGTGATCGGGTGCCCATCGGCGATGTATCGCCGATTCCAGCTCTGTGTCTCCCCCGCTGAGCTGTTCCCCCCCTAACGTTGCCCTTCAGATGGAGAGGGGGTGCACTCACACGGGGGAGGGGGGGCAGGAGACCTTGGGGCCGAAGGCGGAGGTGGGCCAGGGGCGTCGCCGCGAGGCCCGGCGTGGGGCGCTGGCTTAGGGTTTGCCGCTGGCGCGTACCTGTTGAACGCAGTAGGCGCCTGGCTGTTGTCCTGTGTTGGTCCTTTTTGGGGCGCAGCGCTTTTCACGTTTGCCACGAGTCGGCAGGCTTGGCGCGACTCACTCTCTGTTTTGCGCCTGCGGCAGGCTTCAAGATTGGTGTGCTGAATGCTGTTGATCGCCTGTTTGAACCATCTCGGCGCTATCGGCGGGCTTCTGTCTTGGCTGCGAAAGGCCCTGCGACAGTCCGGCACTCCTATCCGCGTCTGAGGTTGCTATGGTCATCGGCATATTCCTGCTCCTGCCCCTGGACAGAAAACCCCGTAGCAATTCAGGCTCAAGAAATTTGGGTTCAGGTCGTTTGGGCTTTATCTTTTAGTTTTAGTATGTTGGTTGTAGTTGATGTTGTGGCATGTTCGGAGCCCTCTGGCATATGACGACATGGTAGAATGTTGAGGATTGAGCGGTGTTGCAACTACTTGCGACACCCTTCGGCCCCCTTGCATGCTTTAGATAACAAGCGATTGCTTTACGCGCAGACAACTCGTCGATGGGTTCGCGCACTTGCCGTGGACTGCGGCCTAGTGAGCTCGTGTGGCAGAGTGCAGAGTAAGCATGGGGTCATCACGTGGGGCTCAGCGACATTAGATGGCTATTGCGTAACTAGTGTCGGAGGGGCTTCGAAGTTTGTTCACCAGTTGGTGGCTCGTGCTTTTATTGGAAAACCTCCATCCCAGGAGCAGTCGAAGGTCAACCATATCGATGGCAACCCGAGCAATAATAATGCAAACATTTTGGAGTATGTCACGCATGCTCAGAACATCCAGGACTCCTATGCGACCAATCTCTCCAGAAAGAGCATTTCTGGAAAAATATCATGACCCGTCCTCGCCAGATTGCAAGGGACATCCTCTTGGAAAACAATCCCGTCCATGACAGAGGCGGCACGCACACTCAAGCTTCATCTTGGTACGTTAAGTGCTTGTTGTAGAGGTCAGCGCTGTTCCGCCGGTGGTTACGAGTTCATGCATGCAATGCCTTCAGAGCCAGCGATCTTACCAGGTGAGATCTGGCATGCTGCGTTGCACCCTACAGGTGGGTATCGACTGTCGACATGGGAAGTCAGCTCTATGGGAAGGGTCAAGGCATCGCGTGGAAGCATCTCTTATGGCAATAAGCATCCCAAGGGATACTGGATGGCGGGCATTCGTCACCTCGGTAGCGTCCACAGTGTTTTCGTGCATCGACTCGTTGCCCGGGCGTTTTTGGTCCACCTCATGATCCGTCGCGGCTCGAAGTGACTCACAGCGATGGGGACCAGGATAACACATGTGTTGGGCATTTGGAATACACGACGCGGTCCGACAACATTCGACGTTCACACCGACCAACTATTTGGCGCCGCACCAAAAGTTGTGCGTCATCGAAGCCAGTTTGGGCATACTCACGCAAGTCAGGGGAGTGGCGCCAGTTCGAGTCCATGAGCCAGTCTGCGGGTATACTCGGCCTCTCATCTGGAAATATTTCACGATGTTGTCGTGGCATCAATCGAACTACGGGCGATTTCGAATTCCGCCTCGGTGAACCGAATGAGCCCGAACTTCTTCTCGGAGAGGAGTGGCGCGCTATAATTCGCGATGCTTGAAGAACTGGGCTCCGTTCGACCTGCAATACGCTTTCCTCCGATCATGAACTCCTGCATTACTATGTGAGTTGATTTTGGGACCTTGGCTGGTATGAGAGCAAGTGGCCTGCTCCTGGACGGAAGGCAGGCGACGAGCAGATGCGCACAGCGCATCACAGCTGGCCTGCAAGCTGCTGGCGCAGATTAAAGATGATGGTACCGAGGGGAAGGCATTCCCCAGAGCCTTCGAAGAGCTCTGCCACTAGAGGGCAAGCGCGCGGTTACAGCTGCAATGGAATTAGTCCACACTCGTTGGCGTCACATTCCGTCCAATCAGGCTGGGCTGATGAGGCGCAGCAGCAGCAGAGGCAACAAGAGGGGAGAGCCCCTGGAGGCCTCCTCAGGCGCATGGGGCTCCGACAGGCGACAGGGGCTGCCCAAGGAGCAGGTCGAGGAGGACGAGGAGGAGGAGCAGGTCGAGGAGGAGGAGGAGGATGGACCAGGAGGGAGGAGGGAAGCGGAGGAGGAGGAGGACCAGAGTAAACCAACGATGCATACATCATGCTGCCATGCAACCTCCCGTTCATGGCCCCCCCCCTCGGACGCCCCGACAAGTCCTTCTGTTGACTCAAAAAGAAACTGTTCCTTTTGAAAGGCCGCAGTTGGCACTGCTATGTTGGCGAGGGCCCTGCTGTGAGAATACACTGCCCTGCATCGCACTGGCGCGCAAGTGCGAACGTGGAAGGGCATGCGCACACAGCTCTGTGAGGTGTCCCGAGAGTCCCGCGTTCGAAGAAGGGCCGCCCCAAGCAGTGCAAGTGTTGCACAAGGTCATACACTTCGAGGAAGTCTCAAACGACAATTCCATGAGGAGGAGGAGGAGGAGGAGGAGGAGGAGGAGGAGGAGGAGGAGATGTTGAAAAAGAGCCGCCATGGATCTGGTCAGCGCCACGTGCGTCGAAGCCCCTGGCATCTCAAGCTGGCTAATTCTGGGGTGATCGCCCCGTTCTGAAAAGCAAGACTTCCCCATCTTGCGAACCATTGCATTGACAAGCGACTGCGCGCGGCGCTGAGGCGAGAACCCGAGACTGACACTGACCAATGTTCAATATTGAGTTGGCTGCACGTCTTTGAGACGAACAGTCGCGGCTCTGAGGCGAGAGCTCCGCTTTGAAAAGGAACGCTCTCCACCCGTGAAGCTAGTGCAAACTTGTCACACGAATGTGCGCGCTGCTCGAGCGAGAGCCATTTTTTACACGTGCCCCCATCCATCCGTGAAATGGTTGCAAGCTTTTACGGCAAGTGTGCGCGGCGTTGAGGCGAGAGCCGCGCGTGGAAAAAGAGCCGACCTCCACCCACGAACTTGCTGAAAGCTGTTTAGGGCGAATGTGCGCGACTCTGAAGCGATAGCCGCATTTCGAAACTACCTTTGCCCCATCCAGAAAGCTGCTGCGAACGTTTAAGACGCATGTGAGCGGCGTTAAGACGAGAGCCTTATTTTTTAGAGGTTGACCCCGCTCTGTCCGCGCAGCTGTCTCGATCTTTTGAGACGAAGGCGCGCGGCGCTCTGGCGAGAGCCACATTTTGAAAGCGGCCTGTGCTAGGTCACTCCCGCCAGAGGTCACTCTTGCCCAGGGGTGCTCTCGCGTGTAGCCGATCTGGGGCCGCGAACAGAAATTCATGTCGGAGGATACCTGGGCACTTCACTCGGGTAAGTTTTTGGGTTGCGCATCAATGCCTGGGACCCAGAGGTCTGGACCACTTCCCAGCCGGCTTTTCGCCCCGAGTCGTCTTTTGCCACCCCCGAGGCCCGACGAGGGCCCCCGGGGGCCGACTTGGGGGGGGGGGGGTCTGTCTGTGCGCAGGGCGAGGCCCTGCCTCGGGCCGGGCGAAAGGGGGGGATTGGGAAAGGGGGGGTTACGAAATCTGCTGCATGCAGCTGGTTTCGGCCTCACCGAGGGGCCCATTCCTCGATACATAGCCGCCTCCGGCGCCGGGAGGCGCCGGGAAAATCAGCTACGTGAGCTGATTCTCAAACCCCCCCTTTGCTATCCCCCCCTTTCGCCCGACCCGATTGCCACTCCACGCTCCCCCGCCACCCCCCCCCCCGAGCCGCTCCCTCTCTTCCCCGAGGCGCCCGCTCACGGCGCGGCGAGGGGTGTGCCGGGAGCGGGCGCCTCCCACCCGCCGTCAATTCACCCGATCCTCCTCCTTCCTCCTCCTCCCTCCTGCCTCCTCCTTCCTCCTTTCTCCTCTTCCTCCTCCTCCTCCCTCTTTCCTCGGCCTCCTTCCTCCTCCTCCCTCCTTCCCTCCTCCTCCTCCTCCTCCTCCTCCTCCTCCTCCTCCTCCTCTCCTCCTCCTCCTCCTCCTCCCTCCCCCTCGTCATCATCATCGTCATCCTCATCCTCATAATCATCATCATAACCATCATCATCATCATCATCATCATCATCATCATCATCATCATCATCATCATCATCATCATCATCATCATCATCATCATCATCATCATCATCATCATCATCATCATCATCATCATCATCATCATCATCATCATCATCATCATCATCGTCATCATCGTCAGCAGCATCATCATCATCGTCATCGTCATCGTCATTGTCATCGTCATCGTCATCATCATGATCGTCATCATCATCATCATCATCATCATCATCAGCATCATCATCATCGTCATCGTCATCGTCATCGTCATCGTCATCCTCATCCTCATCATCGTCGTCATCATCATCATCATCATCATCATCATCATCATCATCATCATCATCATCATCCCTCCTTTTTCCGCCTCTCTCCTCCTCGTCCTCCTCATCCTGCTTCTCCTCCTCCTCCTCCTCCTCTTCATCCCTCCTCCTCCTCTTCCCTTCTCCTCTTACCTCCCTCTCCTCCATTCCTCCCCCATTCCGCCATTCCTTCTCCTCGCTCCCCATCCTCGCCCCCTCTCCTCCTCGTCCCCCTCTCCTCCTTAGCTCCTCCCCCTTGAGCTCCTCCCCGGACAGCAGGTGGACGCCACCAGCTGGTCGCCATCGCCTCGCGCCGCCCTCGGCCGCCTCCTCTCCGGCCGTCCCCCCCCACCCCCACCCCCGCGCGGCGGGTGGAGGACCCTCTCGGGTCGCAAGGACCGCCACAGGGGCGCGGAGCCGTGCACGGCTCGCGGCTCGCGTTCCTCTTCTTCGCTCCAAACAAAATTGAAGCGGGCGGTTTTTGGCAATTTTCAGCCTCTGTGGGCCCTTGCTGGGCCTCGGGAGCGTCAAAAACGACTCGGGACGAAGAACCGGCCCTAGGGAAGTGGTCCGGACCTCCGGGGCCCACGCATCGAACAACATTGGAGCAGCCGGATCCACCTCGAACTGCTGCGTCGCCGTCGCCCGCTTATCCCACTCATCTCGAGTCTCGCTGCGCTGTTCGTACGTCGCCGCTGCCTTGCCGCTCACGGGAGTCCTGATCATGTTCTGGACCCATCAGAGCACCACGACTTCCCGCAAGTACGGCCTTTTCGATCGGGCCGACGAAAGGGGGGGATAGGGAAAGGGGGGGTACGAAATCTGCTGCATGCAGCTGGTCTCGGCCCCGCCGCCGGACCCATTCCTCGATACATGGCCGCCTCCCGGCGCCGGGAGGCGCCGGAGAGGAACAGCTACGTGAGTTGATTCTCCCCCCCCCCTTTGCTATACCCCCTTTCGCCCAGCCCTACTCCGAAGCCAAGAACGGCACACCGGGCCTCATCCTCCGCGTCCTCCTCTTCTCCCCCGGTGGGGGGGGGGGCGGCGCGAGAGCGCGGAGCGCGAACAGGGGTGCACCTGGGGACGCGGCGCCTGGGGGGGAGGCCCTTCGGAGCGCGCCGTCCGGCGGAATTCGAAGAAGAAGAAGAAGAAGGAGAAGAAGAAGAAACATACTAAGAAGAAGAAGAAGAAGAAAGAGAAGGAGAAGAAGAATCGGAATACACCGGTGGTTTCTCAGGGGCAACGAAAGGGGTGGACAGGCGCAGGGGAGACGTGGCGACCCCCAGGCGTCCACTCATCGCCGATGGGGGGCCCGGTTGCCCCACCCCGCCCAGGGAGGTGCGGATTCGCTATCTTGGGCCTGTCGCGGGTCTATCTGCGATGCGTCGTCGATTCCAGGTCGATGCTCCCCCCAATGCCAGTCCCCCCCCCCCTACCGTTGCCCCTCGTCGAAGAAGAAGATTAAGAAACAACAGAAGAAGAAGAGTAATAATAATAATAATAATAATAGTAATAATAATAATAATAATAATAAGAATAATAATAGTAGTAGTAATCGTAATATGAACATCGCTTCTCGGAGGTCCGCGTGGATTTCTTGGATCGGCGTTGCGGCGCCTGCGTCGCCGCCTCTGGCGTGCTCGGCGCGCCTGGGAGGGGAGGGGTCCAGCGCCCATCCAAGAAATCCGCGCGGACCTCCGAGACAGTATGCTTGTGCAGCTCGCTGCTCCTCTAACGAGCGCGCCGTCGAGCAGAGTCCTTCGGAGGCCCCCTCGGAGGCTCCACGAGGTTCCTCGAGGCCTTCGGATTTCTTCGGGGCAACGTCGGGGGGTGGGGGGAGGTCGGCCCCAGGGGAGGGGGGGCGCATCGGCACCCCAAACCCCCCACTCCTCGCCAGTACGGGGCCTTGACATCCCACCCCGCCCAGGAGCGTGCGGTTTTTGCGCTCGGCGGCGTATCGCGCATCGCCGATCCCTCGGCGACGCGTCGCCGATGCTCCAGCTCGAGGCTCCCTCCCTCGGCCGCGCCCCCCTCCCAATCGCTGCCCCTCACCACCCGTGTCCTGTGGAGGTCTTCTGCGGTTCTCCCGAGCCTGTTTTGGTTTCTCGTCTCGCGATGGCGGCTGCCACCCGCTGGGGGGGGGGGAAGGGGGCTCGCAGCGTCACGGTTCGCGCCAGGCCGTCTGGAGATCGGCCGCCCCTGGCCCAGCTGGCCGTTCCCAGACGGCGCCCGAGTCACAGGACCCAGAGATCCGATGTCGTGATTTGTTCATTGCGGGGTCCCCGGAAGTCTCGACCCTTTCCCCGGGACCGGTGTTTCGTCCTGAGTCGATGTTTGACGGTCCCGAGGCCTGGCGAGGGCCCCGAGAGGCCAAACACTGCGAGAAACCTCCGTCTCGATTTTTTTGTCCATGCATTGGATCTCCGGGGAGTTCTCGCGAGTCGCCCACGACACCGCGGCACGCGCCCCAGGGGCGCGGCGACGAGCACGCAGCCAGGCCCATGGCCTGGGCCCGGGGCCAGCGCCCGTGCCTCCCTGGCCAGGCCAGGGGGGGAGGCGCACACGGCGCTCCTGGGCCCAGCTGGGGCTGGGGGCTCCCAGGGCCCTCGGGGGCCTCGCGGAGGGCCCGAGAAGCTCGAGGCCCAGGCCCCCTCGGGCAGTGACAAGATCAGGACGGGAGGTTTTTCCATATGTTCGGCCTCTGGGGGCCCCATGCCAGGCCTCGGGGCCCTCAAAAAACGACTCAGGACAAGAAGCCGATCCCGGGGAATGGGTCGGGACCTCGGGGGGTCGACGTAATGAAAAAATCGTGACATCGGGGGTATGGGGAGGAAGGGGAGGGGTAGAACCGGAGTGCCTGACTGCTTCCTCCTGCCTCCTGCCTCCTGCCTCCTCCTCCTGCCTCCTCCTCCTCCTCCTCCTCCTCCTCCTCCTCCTCCTCCTCCTCCTCCTCCTCCTCCTCCTCCTCCTCCTCCTCCTCCTCCTCCTCCTCCTCCTCCCCTCTCCAGCAGCAACGGCTTCTCTTAGTATGGGTAACACCTCGCGCATAGATTACCCACCACATTCGTCGCCCAGACCCCTTCGGATGTGAGGGTGATTTGCTCGCCATTGAGCTCAGCCTGATCCATCGCAACTCAGACACTGCTCGCTCATGTGTGCAACGCTGGAACGCAGACGCGGACCGAGAAGCCGACGACGCAAGATGCGTGCGTTGGTGACGAAGAGTCTTTGAAGTTAGAATTAGGCAGAGAAGAGGCCAGGCTCGCGATTGCGCTTGCCAAGACTCAGGGCCTGGTGAGGGAGTCGGACTCAAATAACAGCTACGTGCGCTCCTCCTCCTCCTCCTCCTCCTCCTCCTCCTCTGTGATGAACCTTGCCCATCGTCCTCAACCCTCCTCCTCCTTCTCCTCCTCCTCCTCCTCTCCCTCAGTCGTCGTGCCACCCCCCCTCGCGGCCAGCCCGCGAGGGGGACCTCGGTCGCCGTCGCCGCCGACAGCGCCAGCGCTGGCGACGGCGTTGGCGGCGGCGCCGTCGTCAGCGCTGGCGTTGTCCGCGGTCTCGCCGTCGCCGACGGCGTCGGCCGCGGCGGATTCGGCGGCGGGTGGCGGCGGCGGCCAGCGTCGGCGGCGGCCGGCGTCGTCAGCGTCGCGGCGTCGTCGTTGGCGTCGGCGCTGTCGGCGGCGGCGTCGGCTGTGGGCGGCGCTGCCGAGGCGCCGGCGCGGGCGGCCGAGCCATGCCCGCGCGAGGCGGCGCGGGGCGCCACGGGCAGGCGCGCAGAGAAGCCCACCAGACGCGGCGGCGGCGGCGACGGACGGCTGCGATGGCCACGGGCAGCGATGTGCGGCGGCGTGCTCGCCCTCGTCCTCGTGCTTCTCCTCGTCCTCGTCCTTAGGCGAGGAAGGGACTTAGAGCCCTGCGACGGGAAACGCTGGTGCAGCAACGATGTGCGGCGGCGTCCTCGCCCTCGTCCTCTCAAGCAGTGGCGAAGCGTCCCGGCTCGCCTATAGGCCTACCAAAGAATGTTCAACAAAACGTTTTTGTGGTTTACACGAAATGTTTTTAGAACATTTCTGGCTGGGATTGTCTTGTTTTAGCACATCGGGTCGATGTACTCAGAACGTTGTTTTTGATCTTCGAACATTTTTGGGATCTAAGAAAATTTCGTGGTAGGCCTATAGGAATGCCGGGACGGTCGGTCCCTGCTCAATCCTCCTTCTTCTCCTCGTCCTCGTCCTTGGGCGAGGAAGGGACTTAGAGCCCTGCGACGGGAAACTCTAGTGCAGCCACGCTCTCGCAGCCAGTGCAGCTAGCTAGAACTTGATTTCCCATGTTGATGGGTGGAACAAGTCCTCCTCCTCCTGCTCCATCTCCTCCTCCGCCGCGGTGGGACGCTCCGCCGCGGGGGGGAGGAGACGGAGCTTAATGTAGCAGGTTAGCGACAGACAGCTTCAGAAAGGACATGTGGCTGAGTGGCGCCTTCTCCTCCTCCTCCTCCTCCTCCTCCGCCTCCTCCTTCTCCTCCTCCTCTCGAATAACAGACAGGTCCTCGCGATGCACGCCTTGAAACTCTGCCTCCACGGCGTCCGCGGCGTCCACGTGCCCCCCCCTCCTCCTCCTACCCCTCCTCGCCCTCCTGCCTCTGCTCCTCGCCCTCCTGCCTATCCCTTCTGCGTTCCGCAATTGCTCAGTACGTTTTCGGTCCTTCCAGAACTGGGTCCCCGCTGCAGCGCGAGCCTCGTTTTAGGATCGGGGCTGTGCTCCCGTCGTTCGCAATGGCGCTCTCGCCCCAGCGCGGGCCACTTTTCCCAGAGAGTTGGTGTTGAAGCCCAAGAGGCGCGAGGTCAAGATCCAACTGCTGCTGACTGCTCACCAGCCTGTTTGGGGGATAGGTTCCCAGGTCCGCTGTCATTGTTGCGGAGGTTGTGCGCCATACAAGTTGGCGGAGAAGTTTTTAGCGACCCCTTGCCACCAGGGCTTCTTTCAGGGGGTGATTATGGTGCCCACGAAGAGCACAGTGAATGGCATTGACTTGCATAGCTCCCACACCTTGGCCTATCACAAGGAGTTCGGGAGCACGGTTTGTCTGTCTTGTGGCTGTGTGGCCACCCAGGCCCAAGCTGTCAGGAAGTTAACGGAAGTATGCACTTCCCAGCTGAATTATTATGTTGAATTATTATGGCAAGCGACAGTTGAGGAAAGTGCAGCAAGGTCTGGCACCTGGCTCCTCAAAGCTTGCCCAGATGCAAGCGGCCCAGAAGAAGGTCCTGCGTTAAACCGTTCAACTCTGCCTGTGGCTGGAAGGGACAAACGGACAAACTCTTTTTCCTCCTCCGCCTGCCCATTGTCCTCCACCTCCTCCTCGCTCTCCTTCCACGCCAGTTCCTGCTGCTGCTTCTTGTCCTCATCGTCCTCCTCCTTCCACATCCTCCTCTGTTTCGCCCTGCTCATCCTCCTGCTCATCCACCACTTCCTCTTGTGTACGCGGCTCCCTTGTTGTCATTGTGCACAACACGATGGGGTCTTTTTTGGGGTTCCAGGTCCGCCGTGACACGCGTCCGCGAAGAGAGACACATCAGGTCAACGGAAAGGGGTCGGGTGTCAGATATGCCGTTGCCGCACCTGGCTTGCCCCCCCCCCCCACCCCCCCGCTATCCTCCCCGCCCTGCCTCCCTCACCCGCCACGGCCTCCCTGGCCAGGTGCGACGGAGCTCCTGGCGCCACCCCGACGGAGCTCCGCCGCACAGCGAGCCGCCCCTACCAGGAGGACGCAAGAAGGCCTGGCAAAATTTAGATTATGCACCCACCGTGCCTGAGGTCCGCGGGTATGTCTCGGAATGGTGCCTGGGCTCCACCACTGCGCCCCCAGCCGGTGTCTCCGCCACTGGGCAGCGCCTCCCCGCCACCCACGTTTCCCCTGGGGCGGGTGGGGGATCGGGGAGATCGCCGCCCGAGCCTCTCGTACGCGCCTCGCGCATTCAAGATAGCTTTAAGTCGGGCCTGTCCCTCTACAAGGGGAATATTCAAAAATAGTCCCAAAATAGTCAGGGGACGATTTGTTTCAGTATTGCGTGGCTATTTTTGAACATGTTGGGGGTATGTTCTATGTTTCGTCCAAAATCAGCCTGTAGGGGGACATGCCCGACCTAAAGATAGCTCCCCCTTGGACCTTGGCTGTTCCAGCGTAGGCTTCGCGATTCCATGCAGCTCCAGAGCGCGTAACACACACATACAAACACACACACACACACACACACGCACGCACGCACGCACGCACGCACGCACGCACGCACGCACGCACGCACGCACGCACGCACGCACGCACACACACACACACACACACACACACACACACACACACACACACACACACACACACACACACACACACACACACACACACACACACACACACACACACACACACACACTCACACTCACACTCACACACACACAAAAAAAAAAACCTAATTTTGGGGAGGCCCGCGCGGATCTCTTGGATCTGCGCTGTTTCCCCCTTGGCCGCGCCTCTGGGGCGCTCCGCCCGTTCCAGAAATCCGCGCGGACCTTTGAACGCCCATGGCTACGCAACCCTCTAGGAGCTTGCCTGGAAGGGTGCGGCGTAGTTCTGACGCCCGGTGAGAGATGCAGGCTACCCCGAGATCGGTGGCCCATCGTGGCTCCCCATCGCTGTTCCCCCCTTATCGTGCCCTTCAAATCCGTGGAAACTGAGTAAAGCTGGTCAGAATCTTCTGCCGCAAGGGTACCATTGCCTTCGTCTTCTGCTTCTGCTACCTCTTCTTCTTTGTCTTCGTTTTGCGTTTCCTCCTACCACTCGTATTCCAATGCTTGTTGTTTTCTTATATGTGTAGTTACTGTTATGTGTTATTCGTATTGTTATTCTAACGGTTCTCTTTTCTTCAAGCGCCCTTGGCGCGCGGAGCGCGCCAGGGGCGCCGCCAGAGGCGCCGCCAGGGGTGGGGGCACAACGCCGATCCAAGGAATGTGGGCGGACCATTGAAAGCTGATGTCTAGTTGGTCGATTTGCTTGTATTGCCGCTACTTGTCAGTACTCCTCTTCTTCTGGCTTTTCCCAGCCACCCTGTGGTGTAGGATCCTCGCTTTGAAGAGACAGCGCCCCGCGTCACTCCTTCCCTCATTCCTGTTTCTCCTCCCACTCCTCCCTCCTCCCATCCGTACCTTTGCCTTCCGCATGTTCATGTTGGCACACCCATCGCACGCTTCGTGACCCCACAGGGAACTCCACCGAATGCATCAGCGGCAGGGTCTGCTTGGCGGCCCCGCTCCCACTGCGGCACACCCCACAGACGTTTCGTGGCCCCACAGGGAGCTCCACCGAAGGCCCCAGCGGCAGGGTCCGTATGGTGGCCCACACCAATTTCGACACACCCCTCACACGTCTCGTGGCCTCGTGGGGAGCTGCCCCTTCTTCGTCCCACTTGCCTTGCGGCACTCGCACTCGAATATGGTTGGGTTCTTCGCCTGGATAATTCTTGACGCTTCGCGTACCCCGACCAGACTGCTTGTGAATGTGGAGCGGTTTGCTCAGTGCACGTGCCTCGCACGCTTTGTGTGCAATTAGCTTTGTACCGCCGTCCCGGACATCGCCTGTTGCCGCCAGACCGTTGTCGCGCGGCCGCCGACCAAAAAAGTACCCCGACCAGCCCATCAAAAACCGACGCCTAGGCGAATCGAGACGGTCAGGGAAGTAGCAGCAAAGAGGGGGACAGCCGTTATCGTTCAAGGGAGGAGGAGGAAGAGGAGGAGGACGAGGAGGAGGAGGAACAGGAGGAGGAGGAGGAGGAGAAGGAGGAGGATGGAGGTGGAGCAGGTGGAGGAGGACGAGGAGGAGCAGGAGGAGAAGAAGGAGGAGGAGGAGGAGGGCGAGCAGAAGGACCAGAGGGTTCTTCGATACCTCTCGGCGTCTCCCAGGATATCTCTTGAGCGCTCGGAGCCATATTCGGTCATTTGGGAAGCTCTAGTTGTGCTCTAGTATGGCCCTTGGAGCCTCTTGGGGGCCTTTTCCTGGTTCCGAGAATCTCTTGTGGCGTCTTGGATGCATCGTGGAAGCTTCTGCGGGTCCCCTTTGGGGCCTCATGGAGGCGTCTTTGGGAATTATTCGCGGCCTCTTGGGGGATCGTTGGGGCTTCTTGGGTGCCTCGTTCTACCCGCTCCTCTCACTCCCCTGCTCGACCTGGACGGCCAAAGTGCAACTAGGCAAGATCGCGTACCACAGGTCGCGTACTACAGGTCGCGTACCAGGAGGAGGAGGAGGAGGAGGAGGAGGAGGAGGAGGAGGAGGAGGAGGAGGAGGAGGAGGAGGAGGAGGGAGGAGGAGGAGGAGGAGGGAGGAGGAGGGAGGGAGGGAGGGAGGGAGGGAGGAGGGAGGGAGGAGGGAGGGAGGGAGGGAGGGAGGAGGGAGGGAGGGAGGGAGGGAGGGAGGGAGGGAGGGGGAGGGAGGGAGGGAGGGAGGGAGGGGAGAGGAGGAGGAGGAGGAGGAGAGGAGGAGGAGGAGGAGGAGGCGTAAAGGTTGCGTACCACAGGTCGCGTATCAGCTCCAGGCAGGTCACGACCTGCCGGGCGGCTGAAGGGGGGGGGGGGGGGCATCTGGGGGAGGCGGGCCCTGGGCTGTCTTGGAGCGCCTTGGGCGACTCGGGGATCTTCTTGAGGCCTCTTGGGGGTCTCTTGGGCGCCTCTTGGGGCCGTCTGGGCGCCTCTTGGGGCCCCCTTCTGGGCGCTCTTGGGGGCGTTATGGGCGCTTTGGGGCCATCTTGGAAGACATCGACCAAACACAGTGGGAGCTTCAATTAGCCGCCCACCCTCGGGAGCCCAACCCATCGCATCTTGGGGCGCTCTTAGAGCGCTCTTGGGCGCTCTTGGGGCCGTCTTGGAGGCCTCTTGGGCCTCTCTTGGAGCCCTCTTGGGCCATCTTGTAGCCATCCTGAGGCTTCCGAAGGCCATCGGAAGCGAAAAGGCGAGAACGCAAACCACATTGATCCTCCGTAGGTTTTGGACGGATTTTGGCCTCTTGGCGGTCTCTTGGGGAGGCTCCGTCGCCATCTAGAGCCGTCTTGCAGCGTTATTGGGGCATCTTGGAGCATCTTGGGAGCCATCTTGAGGCATCTTGGGCTGGCTTGAGCCATCTTGGAGGTAATCTTGGGCTTTCTGAGGCGTTCTTAGAGCCGTCTTGGACCATCTTGGGCGCTCAAACCCCTCGCGAACCCCCCGTCCAAGTCAAGGGATGGGGGTGGGGGAGGAGTCAAGACACCCTCCAGATAGCAAGCCGTCTAGCTCACTCCCACCCGCCCCCCCAACACATAAGTAACACCCGGGCCTCAGCATGTTCAGCGGTTGTCTTCGGATGGGCAGTTGTTGGGAACCCAAGTCGGGCCGAGCCCATGTGCGCGACGCAAGGGCGAGGTGCGCCACGCGTGCCAGGCGCGCCACGCGCGCCAGGCACCCCTGGGGCCCGAGCGTGGCAGGCAAGCTTGGCGCGCCAGATGCGCTACGTGCCTCCGCGTGCGCCAGGTGTGCCGCATACTCCAGCCGCGCCAGGTGCGCCACGTTCGGGGCAGGTGCGCCTGCGCAGAGTGGGCATGTGCAGAGTGTGCACGTTCGGGGCATGTGCAGAGTGGGGCATCTTGGAGCATCTTGGGAGCCATCTTGAGGCATCTTGGGCTGTCTTGAGCCATCTGGGAGGTCATCTCGGGCTTTCTGAGGCGCTCTTAGAGCCGTCTTGGACCATCTTGGACGCTCCAACCCCTCGCGAACCCCCCCGTCCATCCTTGTCGAAAGCCAATGCCCACCATTGTGTCTGATGGGCCTGCGCGTAGCAGGCCATACGCAACCACCCCCGCCGTCCCTTCTCAAAACCACTTGGCAATGATCGCGGGGTGGCCGCGCATGATCCAGATTTAACAGCGAGGTGCATGTTGTATCGTGTTCGTGTCAAGGGTGATGCCCCTGCGCACATCAGGCAATATGCTGACACCCCCGCCGTCTTGGCCAAAAAACAATACAAAGTGCTCGCGGGCCTCACGGACATGACTCCAGACTTTGCCCCGAAGTGTACTTTGTATTGCTTTTCTAACAGGGATGGTGAGGGGGGGCGCATCGGGTTGGTTGCGCATGCTCCGAATTTGGAGGCAGAGTGCGTGTTGCATTGTTTTTGACAGGGATGGTGGGTGGGGGGAGCATGGTTCCTGATTGGCTGCCGGTCGCCTGGGGGAGGGGGGGTATAGTAATAGGGAACAATGGTAAACCCCTCCCCGAAGGGGAGGAAGAGGGTTGGAAGAGGAAGCGCTCTAGACCACCTACGCCCAGAGAGCTGGTGGGATCCTCCTATATCTCACATCGGAGGACGCGAAATAGAGGGGGATCAATGGGGGGGCAGCGAGGGCTGCAGAAGTGGGCCTTTCAGGGCCCCGTGGAGGGGCCCTTTCGGGCCCCTGACGTGGCCCTGTAGGGCCCCAAAGGGGGCCTTGAGGGCCCGAGAAGGGCACCGTTCTTCCCCCCCCCCATGTATCGCCCCCCCCCCCCCCCCCTAACTCGCGCCCAGTGTCGCAGTCTAGTCCCCACGGACCTCCGACGTATTGCGCGCTCGATGTACTTCGCTGCCTCTCCAGAGGAGGCGGCGGCCCGGGGGGGCGGCCGCCCGACGCGCCGTGGGCACCAGAGGAGACGGAGGAGGAGGGGCCGTGGAGCCCCGCCCAGGCGCGGCGGAGCTCCTGCTGCTGTGCGTCCTCCTGGCTCCTGCCTCACTCTCCTCCCTTCCCCCCCTCATTTCTCCCCCCTCCTCCTCTCCTCCTCCGTTCCCCCCTCCTCCTCCTCTTCCTCCTCCTCCTCCTGCGTTCCCGCCCTCGTCCTCCGTTCCCGCTCCTCCTCCTCCTCCTCCTCCTCCTCCTCCTCCTCCTCCTCCTCCTCCTCCTCCGTTCCCCTCTTCAGCCTTCCCCAGGTCCTCCCGCTCCTCGCGCCCCTGCCGCTCCAGGTCCTTTTGCTGCTGTCCCTGCTGCTGCTCCACGTCCTCCTCCTCCTTCCACATCCTCCTTTTACTCCTGCTCATTCTCCTCGCCGATGTCGCGCCCCTCCTTTCCCCTCCTCGGCCTTCCCCTGGCGCGCCCCCTGCCGCTCCAGGTCCTTTTGCTGCTGCTGTTCGTCCTCGTCCTCCTCCTTCCACGTCTTGCTCCTGCTCATCCTCCTGCTCATCCGCCACCCTCTCCTCCCAGGTACGCAGCTCCCCTGTTCCGACTGCGCATAACACGACGGGGTCTTTTCGATGGAGTTCCAGGTCCGCTATGACGCGCGCCCGCGCATGGAGAACAAACAGCGCAATGGGAAGAGATAGGAGGGAGGGAGCGGATGTCAGATATGCCGCGGCCGCACCTGGCTTACCCCCCCCCCCCACCGCTGTCCTCCCCGCCCTACCTACCTCACCCTGCACGGCCTCCCTGGCCAGGCGCGACGGAGCTCCTGGCGCCACCGCGGCAGAGCTCCGCCGAGCAACGAGCCGCCCCTGCCTGGAGGACAGAAGGCACCACCAAAAGCCATATGTCGAGCACCCAACGTCTCGGAGGTCCCCGGGCGTGTCTCGGGCCCGCGCCTTGGGCCCCCTTCCCCGCCTTGTCTGGGCGGCGCCTCCGCCACTGGGGCAGCGCCTCCTCGCCGCCACCCTCCTTCCCCGCAGGGGAAGAGGGAGGGAGGGGAGGGAGGGCGCGAGGGATGAGCAGGAGGAGGAGGGAGGGAGGAGGAGGAGGAGGAGGAGGAGGAGGAGGAGGAGGAGGAGGAGGAGGAAAGGGGAGGAGGAGGAGGAGGAGGAGGAGGAGGAGGAGGAGGAGGAGGAGGAGGAGGAGGAGGAGGAGGAGGAGGAGGAGGAGGGGGAGGACCAGTGTGAACCCAAGAGCCATCATCAAGTGTGAATCCAAGAGGGCCAGTGTGAACCCAAGCTTCATCTTTATAGGCCCGTACAACATTTCATTTCCATTGAGGGAACTGCCTCGTAAAAGACTCTGAAGCATGCTAAAACATTGTTCCCGGGATTCCAACGCCACGGATCAACGTGATTATTGCGCTTTGACGATCTTGAATCGTGCCAGAACCTCATATTTGGAATGCCAACATTGCGAACGAACGTCTTGTTGCACCCTCACGGCATTGAATCCTTCCAAAACGCCATCTCTGGTATTTTGATCAAGGGAGCCCGTGAAATTCTTGCAATTTGTATTGCCGAATGTGCGCGGCGCATGCGAGAGCCACATGTTGAAAGGAACCGCTTTCAATACGTGAGCTCATGCAATGCTTACAGACGAATGTGCGTGGCGCTAGGGCGAGAGCCACATTTTGAAAACGAACCGCCCTCAATCCGTGAAACTCTTGCAAATCATTGAAAAGAATGTGCGCGGCGCTAGGGCGAGAGCCACATTTTGAAAACGAGCCGCCCTCAATCCGTGAAACTCCTGCAAATGATTGAAACGAGTGTGCGCGGCGCTAAGGCGAGAGTCACATTTTGAAAACGAACCGCCCTCAATCCGTGAAACTCCTACAAATGATTGAAGCGAATGTGCGCGGCGCTAAGGCGAGAGCCGCATTTTGAAAACGAACCGCCCTCAATCCGTGACGAAAAGCCCGGCCCGCCCTAAAAACTCGGTCCTCGGGGTGCCACAGGCAGAAGTTGCTTATAAGTAAAAGGGAGGGGGAGGAGTGGAGGAGGAGGGGGCGGGGAGGAGGAGGAGGACGAGGAGGAGGAGGAGGAGGAGGAGGATGAGGGGGAGCAGGAGGAGGAGGACGAGGAGGAGGAGGAGGAGGGGGAGGGAGAGGAGGAGGAGGAGGAGGAGGAGGAGGAGGAGGAGGAGGAGGAGGAGGAGGAGGAGGAGGAGAGGAGGAGGAGGAGGAGGAGGAGGAGGAGGAGGAGGAGGAGGAGGAGGAGGAGGAGGAGGAGGTGGAGGTGGAGGAGGAGGGTGGAGGAGGAGGAGGAGGAGGAGGAGGTTGAGGTGGAGGTGGAGGAAGAGGTGGAGGAGGAGGAGGAGGAGGAGGAGGAGGAGGAGGAGGAGGAGGAGGAGGAGGAGGAGGAGGAGGGGGAGAAGGAGGAGGAAGACGAGGAGGAGGAGCAGGAGAAGGAGCAGGGGGAGGAAAGGGAGGTGAAGGCCCACGCCACCTCAGATCAGCGTGCTTCGGTTTCGCCTCGCCTTGTTGCGGGGAATCGGTTCGCGGACTTGTGGGCGAAGAAGGTAACTTGTCAGTGGCGCGTTGATCTCAGTGCGAGGGGTCGTTTCCGCAAGTGTTGCATGCTCAAACGTGCAGAGGGAGAGCAGGCAGGGAGAGCTGCCCCGCTTGCTGCGCTCGACACCGAGCGAACTAAAGGGCTGGTGGGATCAACACAATTTCGATGCTAGCAGTTCTCACACAATGCAGTCAGTCAACGCGCCTAGTAAGGACGCGCGCCTTCATGTAGTGTGTCTTTGCCTCTGCGGCCCGTCCTTTGCCGTTTTCTCTGGTCGCCCGCCGCCCAAAAACTCCCAACCCAACTGCGGCCTCCAAGGGTCTTGCGTCATTACCACCTGTCCTCAAAATACACGTTCGGACTGTAATCCGCGCGGGCCCCCTATTTACGGCACGCTCCATGCGCATGTTCTGCCTCCCCGGAGGAGCCCGCGGTCCGCGGGTGGTGCCCTCCGCCTCGCCCCGCCCGACCAAGCGTCGTTCCGCCTCTGCCGCGTGGGCGTCGCTGGTGCAGCCCGGCCCGCCCGACGAGCCGTGGGCGCCGGCCGAGGAGACGGAGGAGGACTGGGCCAGGCTCAGTTCGATTCTTCCGATTCGGTTCTGATCCGATGTGGCTTCGGATTTCGAGCTGGATGCCGATGTCTCAACGGAGGCCGCTGGCCTGCCGTTTTCCGCCAATTCGACCTCTGGCGACTTGGCTGCCGATTTCCGCCGATCCGATTAATGCCCGATCGCCGATCCGACTTCTCGATTCGATTCTGGGTTCTCCTGACCGGGCCAGGGAGGAGGGAGGAGGAGGAAGAGGACCAGCGCGTTCGAGGTTCGAGAAGGGCGGGCAGTAGCAGCAGGCCTCGTGACTGCTCCTTCTCCTCCTTCTCCTCCTCCTCCTCCTCTTTCTCCTCCTCGTCCTCCTCCTCCTCCTCCTCCTCCTCCTCCTCCTTCTGGCGAAGCTGAATCCATACGCTGCCAGCTACCGGCCCGCGATCGTAACCCTGGTATGCAGAGACGTTGGATCTATTCTAATTAGCGTCAATTCTGGGACTATCGTGTGCGAGAAAAGAGGGGACGAACGGTTCCTGTCGCTGTTCAGCGACATGGGGGAGGCAAAGCTCGAGCCCAGCGCCATCGCCAGCGACAGTTCTTGCGTCGGCAGCTCTTGGGATAAAGCTGGGCAGAAGTCGGGCGCGTTGTCAAACTCAGGGAAGTCGTGGAAGTTGGCGACGGGCGACATCAGCCACAATGGCGGTACTGGAAGGGCTGTGGCTGGACAGGGAACTCGGAGACGTGATGTTGAAGACGGAGGTCACCATTTCAATGCACGGCCGGCCTCGGCGCTTGCGAAAAGGGGGGGAATCAGCTGCTCTGCCGGTGTCAACGCGCACCAGAAAGGCGGGCGAGTGGCCTCAGGCACCGCCGCTGCTCAGGGAGATGGGTGAATCGAAGAGCGAACCATATCATCTACAGTGCTGGCATCCGCTCTCTGGGGGAATGAGCATGTATGGGCCTGGCACAGTATTCTGTGTATGTGTATATATGTATATATGTATATACATATATACATATATACATATATACATATATACATATATACCTATATACATATATAACCATATACACATATATACATATATATATGTATGTATAGCTGTGCTGACGTTGTGGCGTCCAAGCCCGCGGAGATGGGCGGGCCTAGCTTGGCAGCCTTTCGTGCACGCACGGCTTGCTGACGGTGCGTCCAACCCGACGACTTATCCTTCCTTGAGGTTGAGCCAGGGGTGAATGGCCACCACTCCCTTGCTTCGCTTGCGCTGTGGGCCTGCCCGCGCGCGGGTGCGTGGGTCGATAGTGCTGCTGCGTCACCGACATTCCACCGACTGCGGCTCCCCCAGGAGCATAGCTGACAGTTGTGCGCTGGTTTGTTGGGGACAGGCTGCGAGGGTCGGGGGGCGGCACGCTCGCGAAAAACACAATGCGCCCACGGCCAGTGTCTAAGTCGACCCTTCTGCCGCCAAATAGTTTATCCGTATCCCTCGTACGACATCCCTTCGCATGCGTTGCAGCAGGACTTGCACTTCCAGTAGAGAGCACTGTTCGGGGTCCTGCTGCAGGTCCCAGGGCTATAGGCAGAGTCGCCGTTCCATTTCGTTCACTCGGTCCGGTTAATTTCGAGATGTACGAGTATGGCCTTGTTCGTCCGTGTTGATGATTCGGTTCTTTACAGTATTTCCCCAAACAGTGCTTGCATTTAGGGGTTTTCACTTGGCTTAACCATCTCGGGGTGAGTGGCGGCTTTTGCGGGTGGTGCCGCCCGTCGCCGCAGTCGCCGTCGCCGTCGCCGCCGCTCGGGGCGAGTTGGCGGCTTTTGCGGGAGGTGCCGCCCGTCGCCGCCGTCGCCGCCGTTGCCGTCGCCGCCGCTCGGGGCGAGTGGCGGCTTTTGCGGGCGGTGCCGCCCGTCGCCGCCGTCGCCGTCGCTGTACCCTCTCCCCCCCCCGATTATCGGTTTCCCGTTTCTTATAACAATTCACATACGATTCTGCCCCATCGTCCAGTACGTCGCGTGTGGGTCGCGGGTGGGTCGCGGGTGGGTCGTTGTTGGGTCGCGGGTGGGTCGCGGGTGTAGAGGGCAGGTAATTTACCCCATAGTATCCACCCCGACAAGCTAAGCCGTTTAGTAAACGCACACAAGGAATGAATCGAAAAGTGCAGGGCTGTTTAGTAAACGCCCAGGGCCGTTTAGTAAACGTCAATTGTCGGGTCCGGGTGGTTTTTCATCCCTTGAGGGTGGGTCGCGGGGTGGGTCGCGGGTGGGTCGCGGGGTGGGTCGCGGGTGGGTCGCGGATGGGACGGGTGGGTCGCGGGTGGGTCGCGGGGTGGGTCGCGACGACAACAACAAGCATTCTAAGATTGTTCGCTCTTAGTTGCCCGTGTGTCATTCAAAGCGAGTTCCCCGCACCCTCGATACCCGCCCTATGTGTCTTCGATCACACCCCCTTTGGGGGGATTCTTTCTCTTTGCGGGGGGCGGCGGGCTTAGACAGGCGGGCAAACCTGAACGGGCGGACAATCTTTCGTGGGCGTACATGTGCCCGCCATTGGAATTGGTGTGGGCCCTGCGAAAAGAGGAGGGGGGAACGAGGGAAAGTGGGAGGGAGGGAGGGGGAGGGACGAAGGAGGAGGGAGTACGCCAGGAAAGAAGGAGCGAAGAGGGGGGCGGTTGATTATGTATATACATATATGTCTGTGTGTATAGATGTGTACATATATATATTTATATATATATATATATACATATAGAGAGAGAGAGAGAAAGAAAGAGAGAAAGAGAGAGAGAGAGAGAAAGAGAGCGAGAGAGAGAGAGCGAGAGAGAGAGAGAGAGAAAGAGAGAGAGAGAAAGAGAGAGAGAGAGAGAGAGAGAGAGAAACACATATCAGAGAGGTAGAGAAAAGAGAGAGAGAGGGGAGAGAGAGAGAGAGAGAGAGAGAGAAAAAACTATGGAGGGATGAGGCAGGAGAGGGGAGGGAGAAGGGAGGAGGGAGAGGAGGGAGAGGGGATATGGCAGAGAGGCATCAGGATGAGGGAAGAGAGGAGGGAGAGAGAAGGGAGAAGAGGAGGGAGGAGGGAGGAGGGAGAAGGAGGAGGAGCAGGAAGGTAAGAGCGTGAACGTTCGAGGAAATCCTCGGCGAAAACGCCGTTCCTGAAGGAAGTTTCGGGCGGGAGCCCACGACGGGCGGGCGATCCCCTGAGGAGCGGGTCGGGCGGGTGGGGCATTCAAGCGGGATGCCTGAGTATGGCGAGAGCGCGACTAATTCAGTAAATTGTAACGGCATCCTTGGCGCAGCGTGTTTCTTGAGCGTCGACAGCGCGATTTCTGAATACATTGCATGGAAGTCACAGGCGAGAGAGCCAGTCCTGAATAAAATGTGAGGGGCTCTCTGGCGGGAGCGGGGGTGTGATTAAATTGCAAGGAAATCTTGGTTCAACTGCGAGGAAGTCTCTAGCGGGAGCGCCGTTCCTGAGTACATTGTGAGGACGTCTCAGATGGGAGTGGGGGTCCTGACTAAATTGCGAGGAAGTCACAGGCGGGAGCACCGATCTTGGGCAAATTGTGAGGAAGTCTCAGGAGCGGGGTCCTGAGTAAATTTGGAGGAAGTCTCAGGCGGGAGCCGTTGTTGTTGTAATCCGGGGGGCCAGGGGCCCAGTTTGAGCAGGAAGACTTCCCCTGTCAAAAGACAGGGTGCGAGCGTCGAGGGGCACACTTTGATGGATAAAAACAGCATGCGCCAGAGAGGGGTGATCAACAATAATTTTTCAAGATGTTTCGCGTTCGCCGCCCGCCCATTTTTGCTCTCGCCGGACGAGGCGAGGCAGCTGCAAGACGGTGAGGGGTGCTCAACAATAATTATTTAATCGCTTCGCTCATTCCGCTGGCCCCCATGGAGATCTCTGGGGGACCTCTTGGGGGCCTCTTTGCGGCCTCTTGGGGAACCCCTTGGGCTCCTTGGGAGCCTGTTGGCCGCTTCCTGGGGCAGGAGGGGGGGGGGGGGGGAGTCGATGGCGCCTTCCCCTCGGAGGCCACGATCCTCGTGAGGGGTGTCGAAAGATTGCCTGGCCTGGCATCTCTGACCCGGACTTGCCGGGCAACTTGCCCAGTTTTATGTCAGCGTGCCATCGCGAACTAATTGGGCGAGCCGTGCATTCGTCGGTCCCGTGCCGACTTTCGCCGATGAAAGGGTGAGCGGCTTGCCTATCTGCTTCTTGACGCTGAGGGGCAATAGTGCGCCAGCGCTTGTGTCGACGAGGGGAGGTGAGAATAGCCAGAGCACCACAAGCAGGAGGAGGAGTATGAGGAGGCGGAGGGGAGGAGGAGGAAGAGGAGGAGGAGGGGGAGATAAATGAGAGCTCAACAACAAAAGCGCAACAAACATCATTCTCACTTCGACTTCCCTAGTCAGCCACGCACCGAGAGACAATGAATGACCGTTCGGCGCCCTCACTCTGACTATGCGCGCGCACTCGTTTATCACAAATCATCTGTTTTCAAACACCCCATGCAACAAAAGCAGGACGATCTGCACGCGCGCGCGTCGTCGCGCGCGCATGCCGAAATCCGGGGAAAAACGTATGTTTCGCATGGGGCGGAATCGAATGTCCAGACAACATATAAACAACACGTGGCTTTGCAACATGTGTTAAAACAAGAAGCGTGCGCTCGCGCTCGCGCTCTCACGAATTTTTCTGGAAACCATCGGCCTTTCAACATTCTCAGAGAATTTGACCAAACGGGCCTCCTCGCGCCGCATGCCGACATCATTCGCACGCCCTTGCGCGCGTGCTGGGGGGCACGATCCGTTTCAATTAACACCATGCGGGCCACTCTCGCGCGTCTGCCGCGCGAGCATGTCGAACTCCTTCCAAGACCCTTATCACCGACGCGAGGACGCCGTCATCGTCGTCGGCGTGATCCGCATCGGCGCCGTCACTGGCTGCCCCGTCGTCGCTGTCAGCATCGTCGCGAGCATCGCTACTATCATCACCGCTTCTACTGTTGTTGACGTTGCCATGA